TGATCAGCTCTTCCAAGATCTTAGTGTTGAACAACAGCTAGCAAATGTCACAAAGGCACTTTTAAATTTTAGATACATATGGTAAAAGAATTAAGAATTGGGTTTCATTAATTGTAATTAAACTTTTTAAACATAAAGTCAATGTTTTCAAGGTCTCTTCAATGGTAAAGCAATCTTGATTAATTACTAATATTTCTCAGTGAAACTTGTGGATGCTTTAACTTAATCATGAGATTGCAACAAGTAAAATTGCAAGTTTCAAAAATTATAAATATTTTACAAACTCATCTTTAAACTCTCTAACTCGGAGGACAAATTGGCATTACAGGCTAATACTTGCATAATCTTAGTACTTCATCATATTATTACTTGACATTTCTGAAAAACCTAAATCAAGGCAGTAAGATTCAGTTGAACCTGTGATGCTGCAGTCCCATATTATTTGTACACATCAAAATTCTACACAATTCCATTGTCAACAGATTTGAGGTAATTTGCTTACAAGAGTGATGTGGAGAGGAATTATGTTCGTGTATGGCTCACTTTTCAAAGCAAAATAATTTATTAGGTTTTGATGCTTGGCTCATCAACTCTTCAGCCAGCATTGTTTCCACAAAAAATACTTAGCTCTACTAATCAATATGCTTAGGTGCCAGTCATTTCACGCTAGTTGGTTATTAAGTCACTAAAAGGTACCAGTGTTGTTATGTGAGCTAACTCATAAATTACAAAAGGATTATTTGCTGGTTAAATAAATGAGAAAATTTCCTCAGCATGCACATACATAAGAAAATGTAATCTGGCACCATACCAATGTTGTACTTCCATTGTTTCTATGAAACTTACAATTTCCCAAAGGCTGAATTTCAGGAACCAGTAAATTGAGCAGAAATTAGTAGTTTACACTGGTCTCTCTGGATTCTGAATAATCAGTTTTAACAGGAATGTGTGACTAGTTTTACTTGTACTGAAAGGGTCACTGATTTTCTTTGTGTCAGAAAAGTATGTTTTAAAGGTCTGGTGTCTGTAAATCTGCTGTGCATAAAGAGGTTTCTCTATGAACACAGAATTGGACTTTTGGCCTTTTTGCCTGACTCGTGCTATTTTCTCCCACAACCTCTATAGTGATTGGTAGTCTTTTACCAGTAGTTTGCCTTCACGGATACTTCTTTTTTAGTGAAGTCTTCACTTAACTCATTCTCTTCCACTGGAAACTGGAGGTAGGAGTAATTTTATTCAGTTACACTTACAGTTTTGATTTTACATCCTTTGCACATACTCCATGCCCTTGCTCTTTTATTTCCTCTGAAAGGTTCACTTTTTATAGCTATCCATTCTAACTCATGTTGCTTTGAATTCAGTTCCCTAACTACTTCCTTTTGAGCTGTACTTGAAAGGGCTTGAAGGTTCAAGTCTTTTCTTTTTATTCTTTTTTTGTATTCATTCATCTCTCTCTAGAATTTCACTCATCTCAAAGTAGGTCTTGGTTATGATTCTGTAAGTCAAGGAACACAGTTAATAGAGCCTTGTTTTATTTCTGTAAAAAAAATGTTTTAACATTGTAAAATATTAAATAAATAAAGCATATTTATTTCATTTAAAAAATCATGCTATTCACTTTGAATCCTGATTTATAGTTTTATTTATTATTCATAAAATAGTATGTTTGTAGTGCCATTTCCAAAACAATACTGAACTGCATGATCTAACTTCCCATCAAAGCACTACAGATTTACATATAGTGAATTAAAAAATAAAGAATGCCTTCATATAATTTTTATTCTGTTCTGTTTTTTTAAGTAATGCTGATTCATTTCTTTTGTTTGCTGTACATTCTGTTTCCATTTTTCTTGATCCTGTTTTTTAACTACTGGAAACACATCAGTATATTCTGACTGGCTGATCTTCTTCACCCCTCTTACTAAAAACACGTTCATTATTAGTGTTTGCTTTTCTTCAAGTATAAAATAAAAGGAAATGGAGATATTGTTGAACTTATTGATAGCATATTTTTTGAGGATAAAGCATTTACCGCAAGAACTTTCCCTTTTGAAGTCATATGAGAAGAATAAAACATATGTGGGATTATATCTTCAAATAGCAAGAGGAGCATGTTTGTTTTGGTTTGAGTTTTAATTATATTTTATTTAATTATATCAGTTTATCCTTAATCCTACCCGTCTGGATTTTCAGTCTACTTGGACAAACTTGGTCTTTCTTTCCAAATTTCCGTCTTGTTATGGGAGAGACACCTTCTCATCTTTTAAACAAATACTGCTGAAAGTGAGGAAACACTAATGCTGGCTTAGAACCGGCTGTCATTTATCTCTTGTTATCAATCTTTGTCTAGTATTATCTTTGGCACTTCTGATTGATTTAGTGTCTGACCCATACTACAGTGATGTTTTATACATCTTTGCATTATTTCTGCTCTTTCAAACATTACAGCTCTGGTCTTCTTATAAGTAAAGATTGGGAATTCAGCATCCTGCTCAGTTATTTACATCTTCATATCCCATTGCCACTTTCAAAAATACAAAAAGCTCTTGACCTTGGAAGTATTTAATTTTGCTGATGAAGAAGTGAACAGCATCTGGAAGCACTCTTTGATTTCTGAATTCCTGTAGAAGTTCTTGGGTGCCATTATAGATGGAAGTGAGATTTATTTTGAGTGACAGAAAGCCTGGCTACACAGTCTGTTACAGGATATTGCTGTCTCTTGAAGGTAGCAGAATTGCAAGGAAATGTCAGGTCTGAAAAGCAGATTCTGCACAGCACCTCTGTGAATACTTCTAGGTAAAAAGATATGCTGTTTTTTCCCTCCTGTGGTTCCCCATAACACTCAGAAAAGTTTGGTTCTAGGAAGTGGATTTGGTTGTTTTCTTGTGAGATCTTCAAGGCAGCAGTTGTAATGAAATTGTTTTCAGTATGCTTTCCAAGGTATTTGTAAAGCTTATAGGTTTCTAGAGATAAGAACCTAGGACTTTATTACATTACTCTCAGAAATCCCCTCTTCCTCTCTTGGATACTCTATACCAGTAGAGTATTTTACAATGAGGGGGGTGGAGGTGGGGAGGAAGTTTGTTTTGTTTTAAAATGAAAGTGGAGTTTATAAGATGACTAATAAAGATGTTTTCCTGACAGTAATGTAGTTTAATGAGATCTTTTTGGCTTCTTGCTCAGGACATTTTCTCTTTAACTCTGTAAAATGGTATTATCAATTAAACATTCTGTAGCCTCACTTTGCTTTCAAATCCAGGTAAGATCAGTTTACTAAATGTTATTGTTTAACTGCAAAAATGTCCAAATGTCTATCTTTATTAACATCCAAAATTTCTTAAAATACTTGTGAAATATTTAGATAAAATATTTAAATAATTGAAATTATTTTATTATATTTAAAATATTGTAGCAATTAGAGTGGTGCCTTTGTTCTGTTGAGAACTTCTTACAAAGCTACTGAGAGACATTGTTGGTATATTTTTAATTTTACTCGGAATGCAAGGCTCAGAACAACCTCTGTTGTTGAAATATGGCAATTAATTCAAAAATATTTAATAATCAACTACAATTATGCCAGGGAGTTTCCTTGATCTTATTTCCAGTGATAGAAGGTAAATGCATTATCTGTTTTACATATGTTTTTATTCAGTTCTTTCACTTTACTAGTGGTTCTTGGTTAGAAAGACTTTCACACAATAGTTCTAGGCTATTTTCTTTACACAGTGCCCAGTACACCATCTTCAGAGAACAAAAGTAAAGGCTTACAAGCACGTGGATATTGTTAAAAAAAAAAAAAAAAAAGGTAAAGTTTATATAAGTGGAAGACAAAAATAATGGCATTGGACAAATCAGTAAACAAAAATAGACATGACAGGCTTCAGGGAAAAAATAAAAACACATAAACTTTTGAATGCCTAAGAACATAGGTAAGCTATTGCTATCTATTAAATGTACATTGAGTGATATGAATGATTGTTATGTGTCCAATCCTTGTGTCTGAGTGCTAGGAGAAATATTCATTTTATAGTGCTGTTCACTACATGTCAGTTTCTTGAGTTTTCTATTTTTTTAACAATGAACTTGCTGATCATATCTTTTTTTTTTTTTTTTTTTTGGTGTGGGGTGGTCTTTTTTCATTCTTAAAAAAGAATTGCATTTAAAGATGGATTGTGTAAATATTTGTCTTTTTTAATATAACTTCAGTGAACATTTATCAGAACACTAATTTTTTAATTGAAAGGAGTTTTTCCATTAAAAAGCTTGGTCATGTATTTCAAAACATGGAATTATCATATGAAATTTGGACCTAGTTATAGAAATTAAAATTCAATAGAGAATCAATTCAGTTTTAGGAAATAGTTACCCATTTTCTTTGCCTCAATTTTGGGTGCCCAGTAGGAGATACATAAGCATCCACTACCAACACTAAAACCAAAGGACATTCCAGATAAATCTCTTTAATTTATTTGAGAACAAAAGTTTTCATTGAGAAAGGTCTGATGGAAGGAAAGTGAAGCTGTCAGTTATTGAGATTCAGGGTAGTGACTTCAGGTGATATATTGTTATTTCAGAACTTTTGAAAGCTTGGCATCTTAATTTAAGTAAAATGAGCATCGTGCAAAAGACAGTAGACACTTCTAAAACGTGTTTTTGTCTAACAAATCTATGATATTTTTCTCCTTATCTGTAAAACAATCCGTTTCCAAAGTTTTGAGATGAGCATTCAGGCTAGTCACTGATAAAAAGTTTGGATCTATAAATGTTTTCACATTTGTATGTGAAATTCATCTACTGATAAGCAGAAGTCTAAAGTTTCACATGACGTTAGTCCAGATTTTGATATAGAAATGCAAACATAAATATGAAGAAACATTGATAATCATTAATGAAGGGTTCAGTCAGATATTTTCTCCTAAAAATGTCAGTTTGTGGTCATACATTTCAATGTGTTTTTATTTTCCAAAGTAATTGTACTGTATTTTATTTATGTATTTTAGGCACGGAAGGGGCAGTGTTTGGGCACTCTGTGGAGACACCCCATATCAGAGCAGAACCTTCCCAAGACCTCAAGTAGGTGTTGTTCAAAAAGTTGTTTTAAAATCAATTATTTTCAAAAATAACTAAGTCTTGATTAAAAGCAAGTATCTGTATAGTAATATATACTGCCTACTTAATGACTCACATATATCCAAAATGCTGATAGACTCCAATTTGTTCTAGCTAGTCAAAAAAACTCCACAAACTTCTATCATAGAAAATGTAAAATACATTACTTCGTACAAATTACTTGCCTCCTGTAGCAGAATCCTTGAGAAGTATGTTTTCCCCAGAGGTTGGAACATTCAAACACTTTTAAGGTCAAATGAGTACAGTACTGTTTAATAGCATCAGACCCAGATTTTGGTTTTTTTATGACCTGTAACAGAATATGTAAGTCAAGTTAAAGTAAACAGTCCCAGTTTTTTTCAGGTGGTGTTTCTGGGTTGTTGGGATTTTTAAATACTACACACACACTTTTCAAAATTTCATTACCAAGTGAGGTTACATTTGTAAATGTAAAAATCCAGAGTTTTCTGTACATAGTCTCAAAAGTGGAGAAATAAGTAAATAGTAAAAGATGAAGTCTAAAACTTACTAAAGCATATATAGACTGGGAAGGAGAATACTTAGAAAGATTTATAGTGAAAGCTTTTTCTTTAAGTGCATGTATATGCACTGCTAAATACTAATCTGTAATTTATATGGATGACTAATAAGAATATATGACAATCACAGAAAATAAAAGGTCCTTCCTTGTGTTTCTCTCAGCAGAACTGGTGAGAAACAATATAGACTTTGATTCAATTCTACTACAATTCCTAAACTTTATATATATATCCCCTTACCTGTCCAGAAATGTTTACAATGAAGCATTGTTAAATGTCCTTCCCTGTATTTGCAAAAACATTTAGGATCATCAGCCAGTAATGATGATGAAGAAATTCTGTGCAGGAAGTGCCCATGTGCACAAGTTTGACCATTGTATGTGGGGTGTAAAAAGGAAATTATTATGTTTGATTATTTACACTAAACATTTTAAGGTAATGTAATGGATTAGATTTTTATCTTAAAAATCCCTATCCTTATTGCCAAGACTCCTGTCAGTCCTTTGTGGAGAGTGGTTATAAAGGCTTTTTTTAGTGATCATCACCAAGGCAGTATAGTCTATAATCAGAGAGAAATCAGAAGAAATCAAAGTGGAAACATGTCATGATTTTATTTTTTTCAGGGGCCCAAAAATTCAAGTAAGAGGGTGGAACTTAACCACTCAAAAGAATGTGGAGACGCTGCTTGTCTACTTCTTTGTTATTATTAAATAATAATTTATTAATATTATTAAATAATTATAACAGAATGAAAATGTAGGGTATAACCTTGTGTCTTCAGGATTAATTTCACCAGTGTTAAAATCACCTCACGTTTCTTGTGAAACTTACATACCAGGCATTCACCTCTTCTGTCTTTTGGCTTTATTCATTACCATGATGCAGACTGTTGCTTGATGTTTTCCAAATCTACCATTCCTTCAGCTCATTTTTCCAAGGTGGACTTAAATTAGTGAAAATTTTCATTAATTAAATTTTCTGCTCTCTCATTAATAATGAACTTAATCCAAACTTTTTATTAAAAAAAATGATGAAACAGAAACCCTTGCTGTTTGGTCAAGCAGCATTAGCTTACATGTAAGTGATTTTATTCTTAATATATTCAGTCTGTATTGTGTTTTGCAAGTTTTTGTGCTCACGTTCCTATATATTAGTTACAATACAGTGATATTCCTTTTTCAAAACTCTTAAGTCATTTTAATCTTTTAAAAATTAAGGTAACTAATATTAAGACAGATTTCTTGGCTTTTGGCATGAGTCTATAACGTAACCTGCAGACCCTCTTTAACCTTGTAGCTTGAAAGAACTATAAATAATATACAAAATACAGTTAGACACTCAGATCATATATATCCCTTTGAAAATTCCAGTTACCATATGCCTTTTAATCTTATTTCAAATGATTAAAAAACAAACAAACAAACAAACCAACCCTGTTGTTTGGATTTTTTAAGTTCAAGTCCTGCATTCATTTTCCTAAAAAAATAAATTGGATTTTCTTTGCTATTTTAAAAAATGTTGTCAGAAATCAGTGATCTGTCATTTAGATGATTGTTTGCCAAATACGCCCAAACAATTAGGTCACCGACCCTAATATGACATTTCCCCATGGCCTCAGAAGCTACCTCTGTCACAGAAAGAAAACAAATACCAGAACCCATTTTCTGGCACCAGGCCCAACTGATACATCTACATTGATATTATAAAATAAATTTATCCTCTGAAACAAAATAGTTTCTTCTTAAATGCTAAGTGGGAACGGTCTTTCACTCATGCTACCTTCCAAATAGCGCCTGCAAATTGTTTGGGAGAGTCAAAACTGACTCTCAGTTGACTCTCAAATACGCCAACGACTATTTAGGTGCATAGATGATTAAGTTCCAGTGGTCTGGCCTGGGTCCTAGGACTTTTTAATGTTTTAGTATAAACTTAGCCAAAGTGTCCAGTAGATCTTATTGGCAGTCCTAAAACGATATATTTTTCCAAATGCTGCATCCCTGCACCTTGGGGCTTTTGAAATTAATGGTAACATGGGAGAGCAGTGAGTTTGCTGTGTTGACATTAAAATTCATTTTTTCAGTGGACACAGGTAGTTGCAGTTTAACAGCAAATCAATACTTGTATACGGGGCTGAAAGATAAAATAATTTACATTGGATTGTTAATTAAAATATGAATGATCCCATATTTTTCATGTTGGAATATGTATTTGTGGTCAAGTAATAAACCTCAGGCATCAAGATATGAGTATATTTAAATAACACTCACAGGGGGTTTTTTTGTTTGTTTGGTTTTTTTTTTTTTTTTCAAAAGAAGATGCTGGAAAACTATTCATAACCTTGAATATGCAACACAATTCACTACTGAATTTAAAAAGTGGAATTCTGACCACCTTGATTACTGGTAATGAACTCTAAAATTTGGACTAAGATTTTGATACCCACAAGGCTCATAGTGTTTGTCCCAAATGTCCTGAGATTTTAGCTCAATCTATTCTGGACAAGGAGCTGAAGAGAAAAAGTCAGATTCATATTAGTTTCACATATCTAAACTTTGCCTCAGCCAGTCTTTGTTCTATAACCAGATTTTGAGGTCTTCAAACAGAGAAACACCTGTAATGTTCACTATTAAAAATGTGTTATGTAAAAATAAAGTTCAGTTGAGATTTAAAATAGCTCCTTCCTATGTGCCCAACCATTTTAGTCACATCTTTCTCCTGTCTTACATTTTCAAATAACTATCAAGGTTTTGCTTTCAGAAAGTGTTTTTCTACAATAGTTTGTGAAAGCAGGTAAGCCCTTTTGTGTCAAATCCCAAAAACTAATTCAATCTGACTTTCATTAGCTGGGATAAGCAGCATAAAAGAATCATGCCTTAGAATCAGTAAAATGAATTATTTCTTAATAATTTAATCTTCATATTTCTATCACTACTGTTTCTCATAGGAACACCGTTAGGAAAACTAAACTATCAATATAATAGGTCCCCAAATATTGATTTTAGGCTAATAGTGCATTAAAACATGGTGCACTAATAGGTAATATCCATGCACAAAAGAGACAGACAGTAGTTAAATGCAGATATCTTTGCCCTCAATAACCTCCTTAATAAGGGGGTAAATTAATTTATTGTTGTTCTCTGGGGATAACTGCATAATCAAATTTAATAGAATTTTTTCTCTTCCATGTCAAACCTCGCATACCATTGACTATCAGATAATCCTGCCAACTAATGCTGGACATTATGAGATGAAAACTGATCAAGCAGCAAGGACACATCCAAACTAGTAGGATCCTACTTTACCTCTGATAAGAATTAAAAATACACAGATCATGTACAAGGGGTCTGTTTCACTCTGAGTTGCCTGATGGTTTGTTTGTAAGAGACATCTTTTGGGGCATTTAAGGTGTGGTTTACTAATAGGGCAAAATACCTATTCTATAAAAGCCTGGAGCCAGAGAAGGCATCAGAAAGGATTTTTTACATTAACTTGTCAGTCATCTGAGCAGGCTGAGAGTAACAAAAGCACTGGGACTCTGTTCAACTATTTTACCCAGAAATCAGATAATAAACCAAACCTCATTGAAAGGGAGAAGATGCAGTAGAGGAAACAAAGCCAGCTTTCTTCCTATGCTGTTTTAATGATATCAGGTTTTAGTTACTTTCTCAGTATTCTTTTTTAATAAAGTGGAAATATTTGCTATTTATGTTTTCAGAATTTCTGCTTGGTGTTTAAATAGTTATTTCAGTGTTTGGGCATGTGTATTGACAGAAACTTGTTTGCTTAGTCTCATCCCTAGCTGTTGAAAACATATTTTTTTTTTAACATACATGTTCATATAGAAATAGAGATGGATGAAGTACAAATTTGAAAAATTGCCAACAGTCAAGCTTATTTTTTTCCATATATATACGTGCTTACATATATATATATGCTTTTATATATATATATATATATATATATATATATAAAGGACACTGAAATAAATAGAGAAGAGAGCCAGTAATAAAAAGTTATAATTACTATGCAGATAACACTCAGTAGGAACAAAAGGTAACTAGATACAGCTCGTAAACTGTAATAATAATTTGCTTCAGTGTTCAGTGACAATGATTATAATTGACACTGGAGAAGGGGAGAGGCTCTAGTAGAAACTGAGATACGAAGGAAAAAAGTATTGCCATCACAATACATATCAAAATTCATTGAGTTTTGAATGATTAATTTAGGGTGCTGGATAAGCTCTATCCATGATCTCAGACTGAACTAAATTTGAAAATAAGATCAAATAGCCAAAATTTATAATAAAGCTTTCAAACTGGAAAACAGACACTGTGAGGCTAATGATTTGGTAAAGGTAGTACTTCTAGTGAAATGGATGGAAAAAATGGATTAATAGAGTCATCTAGTATGTTAGACCCTTTA